CGCCGGTGGGATCGGTGCTGTTCGTCGCGAAGCGCTTTAGTGCATGCACTGTGGGTGCGACGGGGGCGATGGGACCACCCCAAGTTTCAATTGCGTTTCCCGTCTGATCTTGTGACCCTAGTACCGACTTCATGGCAACACACACCCTCCGGTGTTTGAGCAGCACTACGCTCAGAGAAGCTCCTCTTTTATCCTCTCTCACACACGGGAAAGACCTGACCACAGAGTGTCGTTGAGGATTTTATCCCAAGTGTTTGAAAAGGACCTTTTTAAACTGGCGCCAAGTCAGTGGTAGGACTCAGAATCAATTTCCAGCTGAAGTGTGCACTCTCTGTGAATAGAACCTGGTGTATAGAGCTCCCAATTAGAGAAAAGGGGCTCTTCTGTGAGCTCTTTGTAAAGGCGTACAGAGAGATAAAAAGCATTACAATGTTAATTGTATTATATAATAGCTGTTAACTGGTGTAAGTACTTACGTTTACAATTGTCGTGGGAATGAAATGATTAAGGCCTTGTGGGTGGGTTCAGAGAGTTTGAGTTTTTGAGTTAGCTTATCTGGGCTTTTCCATACTCATTTTAAAGTTTAAGATGTTTGGGGAGGTTACTGTTTCCTTACATTTCTCTTCAAATATTATTGTCTTATTTCGTCCATTTCTCTCTAGACACTGGGTTGTACTTTTACTTTTATGATGAAGAAACCAAAGCATGGAGGTCAAGTGACTTGTTGATTGTCACATAGTTCTCAGCCTTTATCCAGATGAAAGATGTTACTATTTTTACTAGCTAAGCCAGGACTAGCATGGATGGCTTGGACCCTTTCCATTGGTTCTTGGGGGCTATACCCAATGTGTATATCTAGCAGAAAAAATAGAAGTCTGGCTTAATAAAGTCAGGCTTTATTATCCAAACTAGAGGCCTGGTGCACAAAATTCGTGCACAGGAGGTGGTGTCCCTCAGCCTGGCCTGCACCCTTTCCAATATGGGACCCCTTGGGGGATGTCCTTGCCAGCCTGATGGCCCCCAACTGCCCTCCCCTGCCGGCCTGATGGCCCCTAACCGCTTCTGCCTCCGTTCCCCACCACTGTGGCTTTGTCCAGAAGAAAGTCAGATGTCCAGAAGATGGCCAGTCACCCGGTCTAATTAGCATAGTACCCGCATATTACCCTTTTATTAGTATAGATACAAGCCTGCATTTGTGTGACAAAGCGCGAACTGTCTGTCCCCCCCGCCCCCCACCCCCAATTGGCCTGTCTATGATGAACTCATTTGCTGAAGTGCACATGTATTTGAATATTAGTCTATAGTTAATGTATGGTTTTATAATGTATTTTAAGTGTAGACATTATTTTCTTACAAAATTAATGTTAATTATATTTAAAAACATTTGAATAGCAGAAAGTGGGAAAATACAAATCCATTGAAGGCAACTATGTCAGCATTTAGATATTTATATCCTTTAGCCTTTTCTTACATAATTGTAATCATAGTATTATATTTGCTTTTTAAAAAGTCAGTATTTGGTATCAACTTTTTTTTTTTTGGTTGTTGCAGTCTTCATAGCCATTACTCTTAGTTGTCATTAGCGTGAGTATGCTTGGTGTAACCATATTCCTATTAGGCATTTAAGCAGTTCCACTTTTTCTTTTTTGTTTAAACAAAGCTGTGGGGAATCTATGGCAGCATACTGTATATGATAGATACCCAGATATAGCAGTAAGAAGAACATTTTCATGTCTCCTGGTCTGTTGCCAGACTGCTTTCTGAAAGGATTACTTCAATTTACAGCGCTATAAACTGTGTCTATTAAGAGGCAGCGGTACATGTTGCTGGAAGGAGCAGGTTTGGCAGCAGAATGACTGGACTTAAATTCCAACCCCAGACCTGGCTGTAACCTTGGGCAAGTTACTTAATTGGCTAGTCTGTAAAAATCAGTAAAATAATAGTACCTCCCTGATAGCATGGTTCTGTGGATGAAAGGAGTTACTGTCTGTAAAGTGCTTCTGGCTGTGCTTGGCATATAGTACAGGCTCCATATTAGCTGTTGTTAGTAGTAGTAGTTTGCCAGTTTGACCTCATCTTTGTGTTATTAGTGCACTTAGAAGCATTGCTTTTATTTGGACTTGCACAAAAGATGGAATTTTATTTTAAATATGGCTAGAACAAATTTTAAGTACTCAGAGCAATCAATTTATGGTTTAAGTGCTTTACTTAAGGGTCAGTTATTTTAAGGCAGTTTTCCAAAAGCAAAATATTTACACCTTCTGTAAAAGAAAGTGTAGTTATGATGGATGTGTTTAAGTCATGTCTGCTAGCTTTTGCCTAACACTAAAGCTTAGAGAATTGGAGGAAGGCTTCTAGGTTGAGAAAAATTGCTCTATAAATGACCAGCAGTTCTTTCAAGAGTTACTTGGAAGTGGTATGGACTTTTTCCTGAGTTAATAATTCATATCTACAAAATGGTTTCAAGTATTCTGTAATTTACTGGAATAAAGTTTATATTTAACATTCTAGACTTGTGTATTTTGACATAACATTGCATTCAAGAGTATGCATTGTTAATATGCTTTATTTAAAAAGATGGAGAATGGCCCTAGCTGGTTTGGCTCAGTGGATAGAGCATCAGCCTGTGGACTAAAGGGTCCCGTGTTCGATTCTGGTCAAGGGCACATATCTCGGTTGCAGGCTTGATCCCTGGCCCTGGTCGGGCCCCTTCGGGAGGGCACCAATCGATGTGACTCTCGCACATCGATGTTTCTCTATCTGTCTCTCCTCCTCCCTTCCACTCTCTCTAAAAATCAGTGTAAAAAAGATGGAGAATGATGTTGAGCAAGTCATATTATGCTTCATTTTTATGTTGTATAGGATAGTAGTACCTTTCCTTCATTCACCCTGTGAAAATGAGAATCTGATGTGCTGAAGTTGCCTTTAAACACCAGGAGTTATTTCCTCATGGGCATTGAGATATCTATATTGCAGTGTATCTTGAGTAATTTATCATCCACTCCCAAATGTGTGCTTACCTTTATTTAGTCATTCAGTACAAATGTATTGATCACCTCCTGTTGTTGGCATTGAGGAATCAAAGGAGAATAAGACAGGGCACTTAAGGAGCTTAGACTAAGGCGACCATATTGATAGGGGTGTAATTATGAAAAGCTCCCCCTTTCACTTGCAAAAGTGTCTGGGTTTGGGTGGTAAACTGTATAGTCCCTTTAGCTTAGAGTCTAATGAGAAAGACAGACCTGTGGACATCTAAAACAGGATGTTTGTGCTGCGACAGGAGGAAGCACTAAGTACCTGGAAGGAGACTGGATTACCTGACTTGGTGCTGAGTTGGGGATCAGGAAAGTTTTCACTGATAGTAAACATCTGATTTGAGTTTTTACCTCTAAATGGATTGTTCTCAACTGTTAACACAGTCTCTTTAGTCTGAGGTGAAACAAAGAATGGAAGAGGTGAAGGGATTTTCTGGGGCAGTGTTTTTCAAACTTTCATTGCACATTAGACTCGCCCTGCGAGGCTTTAAAAAAAAACACTGGAAGCCAGCCTGATCCCCAGAGATTGTGAGTTAGTTGGCCTGGTGTGGGACCAGACGCTGGTAATTTTAAAAAACTTCCTCAGGTGATTCTAATGGGCAGCCAGGATTTAGAATTTTTCAACTAGGACAACCTTGTGCATATTCAGTTGCACAACTGCTACTCTTTGTTGCTTGCTTTGCAGCTGTACGCTACATGATCAGTGATGATCCGTTATGTGTAGTTGTATGTGCCCAAAGGTAAAAGGTATTCATTTATCTTTTGTATTGCTCTATTAAAACTTTTATTTAAGTATAAACTGTAGTTTTCAATGCAAGCATAAAAATAGAAAGGAAACTGTGACTGGTTTTTACATATTTCAAATAGTTGTGATTAGACACATAGTAAATTGTAAGATCTTTTGCCTTAAAAAAAAAAAAAAATTTAGCCCAGCCAGCATGGCTCAGCAGTTGAGCATCGACCTATGAACCAGGAGGTCATGGTTCGATTCCCCGTCAGGGCACATGCCTGGGTTGAGGGCTCAATCCCTAGTGGAGGTGTGTAGGAGGTAGCCGATCAATGATTATCTCTCATCATTGATGTTTCTATCCTCTCTTCCTCTCTGCAATCAATAAAAATATATTAAAACTAGAGGCCCGGTGCTCGAAATTCATGCGGGGGGGGGGCACGTATCCTCACCCCAGCCTTCACCCTTTACAATCTGGGACCGCTGGCTCCTAACTGCTCACCTGCCTGCCTGATCATCCCTAACTGCACTCCCTGCTGGCCTGGTCACCCCCAACTGCCCCCCCACACCCACTGGCCTGGGTGCCCCCCACTGCCCACACCCACTGGCCTGGTTGCCCCCAACTGCCCCTCACCCCCTGGCCAGCCTGGTCTCCCCATGCAGCCTGCTGTTCAGTCATTTGGTTGTCCCTTACCCCCCTGCTGGCCTGGTCGCCCCACACAGTCTGCTGTTTGGTCATTACTATTACTGTGATGGCATCTGGGACAATTTGCATATTCTTCTATTATTAGTATAGATTATTTACTTATTTATTGAATTTAGAGAGAGGAAGGGAGAGAGAGAGAGAGTGTGAGAGAGACTGAGAGAGAAACATCGATTTGTTATTCCACTTATTTATGCAGTCATTGGTTGATTATTGTATGTGCTCTGAAAGGGGATGGAACCTGCAATCTTGGGGTATTTGGATGACACTCTAACTGAGCTACCAGGCCAGAGCAAGATCTTTTGCTTTTTAATCATTGAATTTCCAGGAAAGCATATTTAGAGTCAAATATTTTTTTTACTGAATTTCCAGTGTTAATATAATAATGGAGAGGAAAGATTTAAAAGTCTTTATTGAAGAAAAAAATAAAGGTCAGAACTTATGCAAATGAGAATACATAGTGATAGTTGTTAAAAAGTAAACATGAAAAAGACTGACAAAACCTTGTTGGTTTGTTTTCAAAAGGTATGTGAAAAAGTATAGGTTTAGAATTAAGAAAATATAGCTATAAATGATCTCGAGGATTATTGATTAACTAAGTCTTCATCTTACCCTTATTTGAATACAGTTCTATAGAAAATTATTAAAGTTATTCCTCCTACTGGGGATGTGCCCGCAACCAAGGTACATGCCCTTGAACGGAATCGAACCTGGGACCCTTCAGTCCACAGGCCGACGATCCATCCACTGAGCCAAACCGGCCACGGCAAAAGTATAGGTTTAGAATTAAGAAAATATAGCTATAAATGATCTTGAGTCTTCATCTTACCCTTATTTGAATACAGTTTTTCAGAAAATTATTAAAGTTGTTTAACATAATAATGCATTTATAAAAAATGTAGACTCTGGGACACATAATATTAATATACAGTAAGTAGTTTTACAATATATTTGGATACAAGTGGTATCATTTCTTAACATGTTATTTTTTTTTTAGTTCCAGTGGGCTTTATTGAGATAAATTAACAAAAGTCAAGATTTTATCAACCATCTTTTCTGAGCTTTATAACCTCAGCAGAGACTCTGGTCCACATGTGCACCTATAATGTAATAACCCCCCAACAAAAAACGAAGCCCCATTGGAACATTTGCCAATTAACAGAAAGCCAATTGTCCCTTGCCCCAGATGTTTGCAAAATTTTGAGTCCCCACTGTTCATTTCGCAGTGGAACTAGCCCCTGTGGCTAGGGACAATCAAATTATACCCATTTTCATTGAACAAAAATTTTCAGGTTTTAGTTTTGTTTCAAAAAGGGAACAGTGACTTGGTTTCCTCCAGGCACCCCTGCCCCACAACCACTGGTTAAAACACAGTAACCTGTATCATCATAACCCAACCCTCCCCTTCCCTGCCCAGCATTGTCTACAGAGAATTTAAATACACTTCCTGTTGGAATCTGTCAGCTGTGGACGGGCACAGTCCAGTGCCAGGCTGGCTCCCTCTGCCCTCATGAACTGTTACAGCCTTTGGACCCTTAATTCTTTACCCGAAAGATGAATTTTTAGATCAGGAGTAGACTTTCTTCGGGAATTTAACATGTTAATTTTTATTGAATTTAGTTAGTTGAGTTGTTTTAGCTTAGCATATAAGTTTTAAATTAAATAACAAGTTTTTCTTTTTTGTGGTATGCTAAAGAAGAAGTGAATTCCAGTGAGTGTGAAAATATGGCGGGGAGAAAGAAAATGTCAGAAGAATTTGAAGCCAATACTATGGATTCTCCGGTAGATATGCCACTTGCTACTATAGATATTAAAGATGATTGTGGAAGTAAGTACTTTATTAAATAAATATTCAACTTAGTGATATATATTTTTTCCTTAATAAATTCACCTTATACACCTGTCATGTTTTTGAGTTTGGACTGTTAATTAATGGTTATCTAGATTTAAAAGCTTCAGTGGAGAGCCAATAGGTTAAGAGCTCTGATTTCCTAAGGTGGGTGCCATCCAGGATGCTGTGGGAATACATGGGTGAGGATGTGTGTGGGGAGGCGTATAACCTGGATGTGGGCGTAAAGGGTGTCCTGGAAGGCTTCCCAGAGGTTTGGGAACAGTACAGGATGCCTGGCCACTAAGTATGAACTTTCCAGGGTTCTTTCCTCTATGCTGTCTTGATCTTAACTGATGATCAGAATTTTCTGTGGAGTGATATGAAATTACATATTCCTCTTTCCCACCTCTGTGTCAGGTGGAACCTCTTTGTTTTATTTTTAAACACCCCATGTGATTCTGATGTTCAGCCAGTCTCAGAACCCACACTGTCACAGTCTCTTCGCATACAGGAAACCTGGTTTACATTTTGGGGAGATATAAGGAGTGAGGGATGCTTAGAATGTATGAAATCTCTGGTACCTTATTAGTCAGTGTTTCCTATTCCATAATCCAAAGAAAGGGAAGGAGGAAGAGTTGTTTGCTCAGTGAGGACATGGGATTCCCGTCTTTTCCTTTACAGCCGGCCTGTAGGGAACAGTTTTTGTGGTTTTCATGGCTGTCAGAGAAACCTTCATTTGAAGAATTAGTGTGTGTGCCTGGTAAGTAGGAGAAGATACCTTTTGGAAATGAGAGGCAAGAATTGCAATGACTTAATCATATTTTCCTCTTAATTCCCTACTTTTTGAACAATAAAATGAATATATCTAAAAATTACAATCACTGCTTTCTGATTTCATTATTCTAAGTTAGATACACAATAAAGAAGAAAGCTCCTGAATAATCATGCCTACGTGCTGTGCCCGTCCACTCTTCTCCCCTCTGATCCCTGTTGCAGTCTCTGAATCACTCCCATCCAAGTGCTCATAAGTTAGACTGCAACAAGAAGTGAAACTCGTTCACCGTTTCAGCTATTGGTACTTCTTATACAGATCTAATCTATATGAAACAAACGGCTTCTACTAGAGATTGAGAGTGAGAGCTCCAGAATCCCAGAAAGCATCTAGTGTTTCTATAGCTCCACTATATTCTTTTTTTAAAAAAAATATTTATTT